CATTGTAATTAATTGAGTTTAGACACTAAAAATATCAATGACATTTTACAGCGCGTTCAAGCAAATACTGAAGTTAAAGTATTCAATGAAAATGGGAACATGACTATGATTTGCTTCAGCCACAGAGAGCAAATAGCTGTTTACCTCACGTTCCTGGAGGTAATATGTATTGATTTGACTTATCAGACCAATAAAGTCGGGTAACGATTAGTTTCAGTTTCAGTTTCAGTTTGGGAAGGACAGGAGGCTCTATGGCCTATGTTAGTCCTGGCAATGGTGGTCTCTCAGTTGATCCAACTTTCTTTTGAAAGAGTCGACGGATGGAGCCTCAACCACGTGCTGAGGTAGTGAATTCCACTCGTTGATTATTCGATGGGAAAGTCGATAGTCAGCTGACAAGTAATTTGTTCTCGGCTTGTGAACTTTTTTGGAGTGTCCTCGTAAATTCTCTGTTTTGGAAGACAAGAAAAATGAGGGCATGTTAGGTGCAGATTTATCACTAAACAATTTGTAGACTGTAATCAAGTCACCTCTAGTTCTGCGATAAGATAACGGGAAAAGGTTCAGCTTGGCCAGTCGAGATTCATACGGAAGCTTTGCTATTCCGGGAACCAGCTTAGTCGCCGTTCTCTGAACCTTTTCCAGAAGCTCACTGTCTTTTTTTAAGCAGGGGCTAGCCGCTTGTATGCAGTACTCAAGTTTAGGACGAACGAACACTGTATACAAAGTCAAAAACGTCTTAGCGTCGACATGACTAAAAGCCCTACGTATTGACCATAACGATCTAAAACTTTTGGCGACTATTGCACGGCAATGTGCAGTAGTCTTTAAGTCTTGACTAACGATAACGCCGAAGTCATTATATGTCTGGACGACAGGTAGCTCAGTGTTATCCATCATGTATGTATTTGTGCCTTGATGACCGATATGCATCACAACACACTTGGAAGTATTTATCGGCAACTGCCATGTTTGAGACCATTCAGATAACTTCTTCAGGTCATTTTGAAGTTCTAAGCTATCACTCTTACATCGTATCGCTTTCCATATCTTGACATCGTCAGCATATAGCAAGACCGATGATGATAGGAGACAAGGAAGGTCATTTACATACAAGAGGAATAGCACTGGCCCCAAAACTGTACCCTGGGGCACTCCACTAAGCACAGTTTCCCAGCTAGATAACTTTGAGTTCACCCGAACTCTTTGTTGACGCCCAACTAAGAAGTCTTTTATCCACATCAATAAATTGCCTCCAATCCCGACTTTTCTTAACTTATATAACAGCCGGTTGTGCGGAACTTTATCAAAAGCTTTGCTGAAATCAATGAAGGCGACGTCTACAGGTAGCTTTTGGTCCTTAAGAGCGCACCAGCTTTCACGAGCCACTAATAAGTTAGTGAGACAAGAATAACCTATTCTGAAGCCGTGCTGCTTCTCCGAGAGGATCCGGTTTTTATCGAGATACTTAAACAGCTCTTCCCTAATAATCTTTTCTAATATTTTAACAACCACACTAGTTAGGCTAACGGGGCGGTAGTTTTCAGGTTTGTGTTTCGTACCTGTTTTGAAGACAGGACTTACTATGGCGTTTTTCCAATCTTTCGGTAAGCGACCCTGCGTAACGGATAGGTTAAAGCATGTACTTAAAGGGCTTGCAACGAAGTTAGATAATTCCTTTAGTAGCCTAGGATGTAATTCATCGGGCCCCGTGGATTTACCTATATCAAGCTTATTTAGCTGACCAAAGACATCGAGTTCTTTAATGGTCACGCTATCCAGTTTATGTGTGGGGGGATCTGTATACGCTGACGAGAAGGGCGCTTCCATGGTATACACGTTGCTAAAGTAGTTCGAGAACGCTTGAGCTTTACCAAAGTCGTCCTCCACTAATGATGAAGCAGTACTGTCTCCCCATAGAGCAGGAATATTTCCTTTTCTCCTTGTCCTTTGGTTTATATAGGAATACAAGCGTTTAGGACATTCTATGGATTCCTTTACAAGTTTTTCTTCGTACAATTTTCTAGACTTACGGAGGGTCGAGGCACAAGTGTTCCGAGCCTTTCGATACTGAGATTTTGCCTCATCAGTCCCCAGTAACCTAAATCTATCCCGCATCTTCCTTTTCTTACGGAGAAGAATACGGACCTCCCTACTGAACCATGGTGGAGAGTTTTTCGGTCCCTTTGGTATAGTCCAAGGGATTAGTAATAAATTTATCTGAAAGTTTTTCACTGTTCCAGCTAGTGGTGACTGATAGTCTTGGGCAAGGGCACACTGTTATTTATGCTCTTTGCAGTCAAGAACGACGCGAAGATGTCTAAAAACTATCAGAATGTTTTAACCATATAATGTACGGTACTTATGATACACGCACTTTCGTTATGGATTCGGCAGCGACCGAAATTTCGGCTGTGCAGTCTACGCACAGTCATTCTAACATAATACTTTGTTTATTCCATGCCCTGATAGCGTTTTTCAGGAAGGTATGTGTTAGCTGTACAAATTATCTGTAGTTCTGAAATCCTGATGTGCGCAAATGCTTGGAACACCTTGTGAAGACTAGACGGTCTGATATGTGAGCTTCGCTTTTCATAGCGCATTATATTCAGATATACTCGAAAGTACGAACATCTAAGGACGCATTTCTCACGAGCGTATGACTACATAAAAGACTACTGGATTGCCAGGAAGTCAATGTGGGCTTGCTGTTACCGGCGACATGTATTAAGCCTGGGCAACCACACAAACAACCGTGTCGAAAATGCTCACAAACACCTAAAAGAACGTCTCAGAAGAGGTGATTCCCTGCTTTTGACGTTCTGAAAAATTTGGGGTAGAACAGACTGACCTATGTTTGCATCCATATGAAAGAATAAGACATTCTCTCCCCTTAGTTATTTTAATTGTACTTTTATTCGTTTGACCTTTATTAATTTCATATAAAAATGCCTTGACAAGTATATATGTGATCAGATTGTTCGAAATGTATAGCGCAAATACATCACATTTTTCAGATCAACTACGTCTTCTCATTGTTTTATCGAAATTTATAAAAGGGACTAATTGCTTTAAATGTTTTCCATTTCTTTAGGTAAGAAATATAGTTAAATGTATCATGAATTCCAGGTTCCAATGTCATTTTGAATTCCTATGAGTGAGTTCACATCTTTTGCAGCTAAAATTGTATCTGTAAATTATAAACGTTTTAGGACAATGAGACACGGATTTATAGAAGGAGAATACATACGGTGCTACAACAAGTGTATGATGTATGTCGTTGATACTTCACATGCATGATGTGCTTGTGAGCGTTTCAGTGACAACATGCTGCCCTGTGGTCATATTCTGTATGCACATTCCAAAGATCTAATTCGTGGAGGTAAGAGTGTGTTCCCTTATCTCTATAAGCTTTGTAGACTTATTTCGACATAGCAGCCGGTGGAAATGGAAATACATAATGGACTTGGTTCTTCGTGCGCTGGACAACATGTCATTCTCTACAGGGAGTGTTGATCTGCTAGAGAAGTTCACTAACAACTACCACTCAGTCCATGCTCTTAGTGAACCTTTAGCAAGTAAACTCATCCGTTCATGCCTCGAAGCATCGGAAGACATGCGCACAAGTGATGAGTTCAATCGGTGCTAATGATGAAGCTACAACATCAGAATCCATTGTTAATACAGATCATAGCTATGCTTCTTGATAACAAGAAGTTCTAATATTGTAATCATTTTACTTTTACATAAATTCATTTATATGGCCATTGATTTATTTTTATAGCGTAACGGCAAGGAGTGTACTGTTCAGTCTTATGTGGCTGTGAGACAGGGATGTTGTTTCGCATTCTTGTGTAATAATTACCAGTTTGGCGCACACGCGATTAGTCATACATACCGTTTACCAAATACTGCTACCTTGAACATGTAGTTCGAATTTCGACCTGTCACGATAGATAAGAATTGCCGTGATTAAAAGACTGGTGCGTTATAAATGAAAACGTTTATTAAAGTTTGAATCTAGCACAAATGATCCATCAATAAATAAATTCTATTTCTCAGGATTTGTTCCCGTTAGGTTTTTGAACGCTTGCGAAGCTAGCTGGAAATAAGATAGACAGGAAAGTTATTTCAGTATAAATGTTTATCAGAAACTAGTATAAAAACGGAAACCAGTATTCAATTACAGATCGAAAGTGCATTTAGCACATTCTTCCTTTGGATAGTCAATCACGCTTATTTCCTTTATCTCTTGCGTTGCTTAGGAACGTCTGGGTCACAACATACACGGATTGTATTATTCAATTCTTTGGACAGGTTGCACTTCGGAAACTTAGACGATGAACATATATAAAGACTACTGTGTGAATATACTTTGAATCGTCCTGTGCAACCTGCAATTCTTGATGCATATTCTATTGCAGTCCCACGTAAGTTATGAGTAATTGTCATTAACGGCATCAGCACGTCAGCTAGACAGGCCTTGGTTGATTTCCGAAGATCATCACATAGGATCTCACACAATCTGGTCACCTTAGATCAAGATATCTTGACTATCGAATCGTAATTTTCAGTGCTTTCTCGTGACAGCTTTATATCAGTACTTATTTCTGATATTAGGTATTTTTGCAATAATACCGGCAGCCAATATATTGAAGCTCCCCAGACAACCCAAAAAGGGGAAAACGCATCTCAATGTCGCTTTTTTCGCCTGTCCGGGGGAAATAATGTGGATTTCCCCTTTCTTCGCCGTTTTGTCGATAAATTACTCACTTTTCGCATAAATATCTGCCAAATTACCGAATTTTCGCCTAACTGTCCGCATAATTGTCTACTTTTCGCTTAAATGTCCGCTGAATTGCTTACTTTTCGCCTAAATGCACACAGAACTCCCTGTTTTCCATCCATTGACATAAACCCAAAGGTCTCTTATGTTCGCCTTTATTTTCAACAACAGACCAAAATAAATCTGCAATACAGTGGAAAACCGACATATTTTTGAAAATTTTTATTTAAAAGGTAAAGCGTATTATTGTTCAACACTAGAGCAGAAGCTTAAGCATCGATTGTTTTGCATATCCAATGCAATTGCTAATTCATTGTTATGTGAAACTATCTGCAAAAGAAGAAACACGTGATGTATTATTTATAAGGAATGTGCATTTATTCAATTGTTCACTGACACTCAAACACACATTCTCAACACTTCTACAGCAGATTGCTTCATGGCAAAACTAGAAAACGACCAACTAAGCTCAATGATCAGTCAATTTCACCTGTACGTTAGATATATGGACGACACGTTCATCGTTTGTGACAATAATATTGATTTAGAGGATATTTTAAACACCTTTAACTCATGCCACCCTTCTATAGACTTCACGTTAGAAAGGGAACGGGACCAATCAATTCCTTTTCTCGATGTACGTCTGATGAGAAGGAGTAATGGTTCTTTAAAACGATCAATCTTCAGAAAACAAACATGGAATGGACAGCTAACTAACTTCTATAGCTGGGTTCCGTTAAGTAGAAAGAGAAATCTCATCCACTCTTTATGTTATAGAATACGTCAGATATGCAGTGAAGAATGCATTAACGAAGAACTGGAATTCCTCAAGAAAACCCTAACGGAAAATGGCTACCCAGAACGGTTCATAGAAAAGAATATGAATAGAGGTAGTTGTAACAAGAAACCTAGTTGCTCCGTTACGAAGAAAAACCTTTATATAAGTCTGGAATTTAAAGGTGATCGAACATCAGAAGTAATCAAAAATCGTCTAACAACAACTATTAGACGAACATTTAATGCAGCTAAATTGCGAATAAACTTCACGAGTAGGAACTTATTTTCCGTGTCCATAAAAGACAAGCTTCCGCGTCTGGTCGCCTCTATGTGCATCTACCAGTTCACCTGCTCTTGTGGAGCAAGGTACATTGGCCGTAGCCAGCGCTCGCTTTCAACTCGGATACGGGAACATATTCCGGCTTGGTTCTATAAGGGGGAAAGGAAAGCAGTTAGGAGTTCTATACTTGAACACCTAATCGACTGTAAGCATTCCACTGATCCAAGAAATGAATTTAAGATTGTTTATATGATTCGTTCAAATCTACCCAGATTTCTTCGCATCCAACTTTTAAAAATAGCCGAAGCTCTTACCATCCAGGAGCTTAAATCAGAACTATGCGTACAAAAGAAGTACGTCTTATCGTTATCGTTACCTTGGCCTTAAGTATTTTGATTATCCAATTATTATTATTATTATTATTATTATTATTATTATTACATTCTCCCCTTTACTTATATCTTATATTCTCATTGTTTTATTAGTGAATACTCATCATATCACCATATTTATTTATTTTTACACCTCTATGACCTTTAATTATTATTATAACGAAAACATTTTAATCATCTTATTATAATCACTAAATCTATTGTTATTATTATTATTCATATTACGTAATCTAGTATTATAACCCCTTTTATTAACTGTGTTCACATTTCCCCACGGAATTAGTACTTTTACAAAAACAAAATTTTCATATATATACGATTGTACAGCTTGATAATAAATTCGTTGAAAAGAGATCCCTTCGCTGAAATTCGTGTTTTAACTTCTACAGCTTCCCATGTAAGTAAAAAAGTAAGCTGTTTGAAAAATAATATTTATTGAAATGTAAGTATAACATCAAAACAATTGCACGGCTATTGAGAATTAAGGTAGTCGTCCCGTGAATTCTGAATTAAAAAAAAGAAAAAAGTTACAACCATATCCCAATGACATGCTTTGATACAGCCAAATACATGTGTACATCTACACAAGAGGTAGTACTGCTATCTTAGCTTGGTCTCTGGTAAAACCTCCACATAATTATACCTCTACCGCACGATTATGATTTATTTCCTGCAATACAATCATCTGGTGGCTAATATATCTAACTGTAGGAGGCAATATTAACATCTTGGTATGTGTTATTATCATCTATAGCATATACATAATATTTACAACACTCAGGACACCTTATGTTTTCACTATAAACCTATTTCTGCCATAAAAGTCGAACAAAACAGTGAAAATCAGCAGAAATTGTGATAAAGATGGGAAAAACGATAAATCTTTACATGGTATCGTTATTTGTAACGCAGTTTTTGTAGCCTTGACGACAATAAAATTTTTATGACGATATATGCCTGAATCTTGCTATTTCATATAAAATTAAAAGATTTGCCTACCACCTAACTAGAAACAATTGCTAATCTGCGATGCAAACACCGAAAAACTATTATAGCAGCACCTGAATAATGAATTTTCAAGGACTTCGCGATACCATGTAACGCAAAATGGAAAAACCCCTTTTTACCTAATTATGAAAACGGAAAATAAATTTTCAAATTTATTCATAATGTATTTCAAAATTTGGTTGTGCACAAAGCAGAAATGAAGAAGTAGCGCAAAAAAGTATCGCGATACCCCTGGAGCGCTGCCTCGCACATTCGCAACGCAACTTTCATGAAGGGCGCCAACTGTTGTACTGATTCAAACCATCGACATTCATATCTTATAAATTATCAACCCAGTTATGTAATTTATTACAGTGTATATTGTATCATTTGTATCAATTTGATCTTGCCTGTAAACTGGCATGCCTCATGTAACAATCTGTTATTTGAGAATAAATTATTATTATTATTATTATTATTATTATATAATACATAATAATCTATTTATCTTTAAATACTTACTTACTTACTTACGCCTGTTACTCCTTGTGAAGGACCATAGGCCGCTCACCAGCATTCTCCATCCAACCCTGTCCTGGGCAATCATTTCTAGCTCCTTCTAGTTCCTATTTATCCTTTTCATATCTGCTTCTATTATCCGACGCAATGTGTTCTTTGGCCTTCCTCTTTTTCGCTTCCTTTCAGGATTCCAAGTTAGCGCTTGCCTCGTGATGCAGTTTGACGATTTGCGTAATGTATGTCCTATCCCTTTCCATCGTCTTTTCCTAATTTCTTCTTCAGCTGGAAGTTGGTTTGTTCTCTCACACAGAAGGCTATTGCTGATGGTATCCGGCCAATCGATGTTGAGTATCTTGCGTAGACAGCTATTTATAAATACTTGTACTTTCTTGATTAAGGTTGTTGTAGTTTTCCAAGTTTCAGCTCCATACAGTAGAACTGCTTTGACGTTGGTATTGAAGATTCTCACTTTGACATTGGTTGAAAGTTGTTTTGAGTTCCATATGTTCTTTAACTGTAGGAATGCTGTCTTTGCTTTGTCAATCCTTGATTTTACGTCTGCATCTGAACCTCCTTGTTCATCGATGATGCTTTCTAGGTATGTGAAGGACTCTACATTTTCCAGAGTTTCGCCATCAACAGTCATTGGATTGTTGTGCTCCATGTTGTATTTGAGGACCTTGATTTTCCCATTGTGTTGTTGAGGCCTACTGATGCAGAGACTGCTGCTACACTGGCTGTCTTCATCTGCATCTGTTCGTGTGAACGTGATAGGAGGGCTAGGTCATCAGCGAAGTCCAAATCGTCTAACTGATTTTGAGCTGTCCATTGTATTCCTTGTTTTCCTTCAGGTGTCGAGGTCTTCATAATCCAGTCGACCACCAGAAGAAAGAGGAGCGGAGAGAGTAAACAGCCTTGTCTGAATCCAGTCCTTGCTTGGAATGCATCTGCCCGCCGTCCTCCATGCACGACTTTGCACTGTAGTCCGCCGTATGAGTTCCGGATAATGTTGACAATCTTCTCAGGAACTCCGTAGTGTCGAAGAAGTTTCCATAATTTCCTCCTATCTACACTGTCGAATGCCTTTTCATAATCAATGAAGTTGATGTATAGTGATGAGTTCCACTCAACTGATTGTTCGACGATGATCCGTAGTGTTGCAATTTGTTCTGTGCATGATCGATCTTTACGGAATCCAGCTTGTTGATCTCGAAGTTGGGCGTCTACTGCATCCTTCATTCAGTTCAGTAACACTCTGTTGAAGACTTTACCTGGTATTGACAGCAGTGTAATGCCTCTGTAGTTTTCACATTCGCTCAGATCTCCTTTCTTTGGAATCTTGACGAGGTGTCCTTCTTTCCAGTCCATCGGCACTTGTTCCTCCTCCCAAATCTTTTTGAATAGAAGGTAAAGTATGTTTGTGGTTGCTTCGATGTCTGATTTCAGTGCTTCAGCTGGTATGTTGTCGGGTCCTGCTGCTTTCCCGTTCATGATTTGTCCGACGGCCATTCTGATTTCTTCCTTCGTTGGTGGGTTGACGTCCATGGGAAGATCTGTGTGTGCCGCTTCGATGTCCGGTGGATTAATTGGAGCCGGCCTATTCAGGAGTTCCTCGAAGTATTCTACCCATCTGTTCCGCTGTTGTTGAATTTCGGTGATTGGCTTGCCTTCTTTGTCTTTGACCGGTCTCTCTGGTTTACTGTATTTCCCTGCTAGTTTCTTCGTTGTATCGTGAAGCTGTTTCATATTTCCTTCTCTTGCAGCTTTTTCCGCCGTCGTTGCTAGTTCTTCCACGTATTTCTTCTTGTCGGCTCTAATGCTCCTCTTCACTTGTTTGTTTGTTTCTATGTACTCAGCTTGTGCTTGGACTTTCTCTGCTCGTGTTCAGCTGTTGTTTATTGCTGCCTTCTTGTTCTTCCTTTCTTTGATCTTGTCCAGTGTGTCTGTAGAGATCCATTCCTTATGATGGTATTTCTTTAGACCCAGAACCTCTTGACTTGTTGAAGTTATTGCTTCCTTGATGCCTTTTTAGTTGTCCTCCATACTAGTTTCTTCTTCTTTCAGTAGATCTTGTAAGGCTTGGAACCTGTTGTTAAGAGCAATCTTGAATTCATTGAGTTTGTCAGTATCTCGAAGGAATGCTGTATTGAACCTTTGTAGTGCTGTTTGTCCAGTTGTCCAGTTTTTTTAGCTTCAGTTTTAAATTGACCACAACTAAGTGGTGATCCGAAGCTACGTCAGCGCCTCTCCTGGTTCTCACATCTTCCATTGTCCTTCGGAATTTTTTGTTGATGCAAATATGATCTATTTGGTTCTCTGTGGTGTGGGCGTTTCTCAATGACTGACTGCAGCCGCTCGTAGAACTGATCTTAAATGTCGTCGTTTCTATCATTTGTGGGTGCATAACATTGGATAATATGTAGTGGCATTAGACCATAACCACACTATCCTCAAAGCTGAATACGAGATTACTCGGAAAATAGAAATTCAATATTTAACGCGAAAAAATACCTAACGATGGAGAAGGCGCGAATATTGAACTGAATGAATTAGAGTTCATCAAATGGCATGGCTCGGCCATGCAGGCGTGGTCCCAGTTGAATGTTACCTTATATCTTCTATTCATATTAAATATATTGTTCTTTCTCTAGCCTAACCTTGTTCTACATCATGTAATGGTAGTTGATACGATACAGTGAGTTGGTGTAGTTGATGGTGTGACTTCCACGTAAGATCTTATAGATTAGGCAGTTATATCATGACAAATCTACAAAATTTAGGATTAGGTCTATTATTAGAGCAGCGCTTATATTATAGTAGACCACAATTCTACATTGGTGAGCCCAACTAAAGGAAAGCAACCTATTATTGCTAATCCTTATATCCACCTTAACCTTCTCAATCGATTTTTATTTGTGTAAACCCATTATTCTAATAGTCCTCTGATTATTGCTCACATGTATTATCGTAATGTTATACTGATTACTTCTCATAACATACTAGCTCAATCGATAATAAAAACTGGTCGTCTAAATTAACTAAATAGCTTTGATGGTTCGTTAACAAGCTTTAATAGCATTTACATGCTTCAGCGACATAGACTTGTTTAAACATCAAGCTCTAGCAAATATGACCTGTAAATAACGTAACTATACATTGACTAACATTGCAATCATGGACTAAATAGTTATCTGGATCTAATTCTCATTGTTCCTTCACTTAACACCTCATCCTCTTTTAAAGTATGCACTATCCTGTAATATCTTTTCTTTCGACCACTGCCTGCCTAATTTCATATTTCGAGTTCCATTGCCAAACAACAAGGATGACAGAAACTTACGATGACTCAGTCAATGGCAGACACACAATTATCTGGATTCATTCGATTGTTCTGATCCGAGCGAGTGGCAAAAACATCAACAGCATCAAGCACCCTGAAATGAATCGCTATACTGCATGTTTTATTCTGGATACTTTTGGATCATTACTCCTCACGAATGGCGTTATATATGTCGTCCACTGAATAATCTAATTTTCAAAAATAATCCAGGCGAGTTCAACCATTTCACTTAATGATTTTTTGTACTTAACATGTATATGTATTATTAGAGCAGCATTTATATTATAGTAGACCACAATTCTACAAATATTCATTAAGATCCCCTCCTTCTTTGTTTTGAATGATGCTTTGATGATTCTGGATCCATGAGATTCCCATCCTACAAGTGCATCTCGTGCTACTTTGGACAGCATAAGAGCGACTCTCTGAGTGTGTGGAGCATTGTCCTCTTCGTGACCGGAGTATAGCAGCATCTCTCCCGTAGCTAGCCTTTTCTGTCCAGCTTGGGTCCAGTGGGTTTCGCTGATTCCCAGTACTGCTATGTTGTATCTCCTCATTTCCATTGCTATTTGACTGGTCTTCTCGGTTTACCACATTGTTCGAACGTTCCATGTACCTATAAAATTTTTTGCTCTGGTTGTTAGAAGTGGCATCGGCCTCGTGGCTTCCGAAGGAACTCGTCTTTCACCATGAAGCGTCATAATTCTTCTAAAGGAAGACCCAGGGCAGAATATAAATGGTTTGGATTATTTTTTGTGGTAGGCGTTTTTTTAGCGAGTTGGTTTTCTACAGGATGAGGACGCTAACCTCATGCCCAACCCTCCTCCTTTACCCGGTCTTGGGACCGGCAGCAACCCTATAAGAGCTACAAGCGGAGTTTTATCTTTAAATAGATTAACACTAATTAAATAGAAATCTGATCATTTTGCAAGTGTAACCGTTAAGTATATTGATTTCGAAAAAGTAATTCAAAATATTGATAATGAAGAATATATACGAACTCACACACACACACACTTAATCAAGTGATCTTCTTGTTACCAGTTAGTATTCATTTTATATAATGATAACTAAAGATCTAATACAAAGACTCTTCATTTATATCCTCCCAACCAGTCAACCAATGATAAATCGGTTTTCTGATCAATATGCCACTTGGGGTCATGTTGTTATATGCATTGAGTGTCCAAGCCATTAATCACATTATTCAATGTTAATGAATATAAAACCTGTGAAAATTGAACATATAAATAATGTTATGATTTCAGCAAAGTTACGTTGACTGAAGTTTTATAAATATAACACCCTGTTAATTCTATCGAAGCGTCCAAGTAACCCCGATTGAGATACGCGAAAAGTCGAAGTTCCAAAACAACGATTCGTCTACAATGGCGGTTCTTTATTAAATAATA